AACAATGAAATTGTTTAAATGAAAATAAATTTATATAATATTATTTAAATAAAACTAATATATAAAATAGCCAACCTAGCTTATAAAGAGATAGTAAACTAATATACTTGTACACATAAATCTTTATTCTTAATGAGTTAAGGAAAAATTTCGGAGACAGAAGAGACGGAGAGATAGAGAGACAGTGGGCTCAAGGCTATTTTTGTAGTTGGAATACATAATTATTTCTAAATAACTAATTATGATATAAGCAGAAGTTCCTGTGGCCAGATTTTGGTTTGCGAATTTAGTTAAGAGACTTGTTAGGGGAAGACGTTTAAGATATATATATTTTTTGAATTTTCACGACAGGAAACCCATTTTTGGCATAATAATTAAAATAACAAAGTCTAAATTTTTAATTGAGAGCAAAATATGTTGAAAAAACGCCATACAGCGAGCAAACACAAGTGCTGTTAAAATTATTTCTATCGTATGGATATACATACATATATACAGACAGTCGATAAATAGAGCATTCATAAAATAAAAATAGCGTGGTGGTGGTAGAAACATGTGATATTGTGTACATATGTACATACAGAAGTATTAATTTAGGATATTAATATTTTTACATATCTGTTTGTGTAAGATGCATATGTGTGTGTATGAAAATAATATTTCTGGGTGGTAATTTCTATGTGATATAATCGCGGAGTTATTTAATACTAGTTGTACTAGTAGACTTATCGTTTGAAAAAAAAAAAAAAATAAACACAAAAAAATTTTTTAAACACCTATATATCTATTACAACACAAATAATGTTTAAGAATTATTGTTTGAAAAAAATAACAAAAATAAAAATAAAATGTTAAAAACCGTCTACATCTATTGCAATGTGTTTGATCTAAGTTAAAAAAGTTTAAAAATTATAAATTACAAATAGTGTTAAATAAAACATTATAATATGCTTTCCCGAATTAAATGTCTTTTATAATCACATGCAAATGCAATTCTAGAAAAAGTGCTATTAAATGTAGTAACTTCCGATTAATTCTTCTAATTCATGCATTTTCTAGGTTAGTGCTACCAATTAAAAGTTTGAGGTTAAGAGGAAAATCAAAATACTTAATTCAATAACAACAAAATTTGCAATTAACGCAAACAAATTATGAAAACAAACGCACGCAGAACACTTGCAGCAACTTCATAGCTCGACTTTATTTTTCGGTTTTAATTTATATTTATTAATATATAACTTTTCAATTATTTGCATATATAATTAAAATTGTTTGTTAATATATACAGTTAGTTTTGTTAGTAGTTTTAATAGTTAAATTAATAATTAATTATTATTTTTGAATTGAAAACAAAAAGAATTTATTGCTTTTAAACACAAAGCATTAAAAACTTAAAATAGTTTCCTTTGACACATTTGCTTGACATTTACTTTTTATAAACGCATGTAATGTATACAAATGGTGTTTAATTTACAGAGAATAACAAAAAGGAATTATGTGCCGAATATTTAACTATTACAACACACTGTAAAAAATCTTAATGCCCTATAAATAAATTTTAGAGATTTAAAGTAAACTAAAATGTGCTTAAGAATGTGAGTTTTTAATGAATATAAATTTAGACAAATATACCCCCATTAAAAATTTATTAAAACGATTTTTTTAAGAATTTTATTATAATGAACAATATTATTGAATTTAATGGTAATTTATTAAAATGCTGCAGGCAAAGCAGTTTGAAGCTTTTACAAAAAGCTTTAAGAATTGGTAATGGAGGAGCTTTAACAAAAGCTTCGACACATTTCTAAATATTTTGGTTTTTAAGCTTAAAATGTATATTTTTATTATTTTTAATGCTTATGAGTAATATTTTTCAGAAAAAAATATTTAAATTTTATATTATTATTTTTAATACTTATGAGAAATATTTTTCAGAAAAAAGCTATGGTTCTTAGAAAAAATAGCAGCACAAGAGGCTACTAAGGGGTCTGAGTACTACAACGTTAATATTTTTGAAAGTTGGAAGCATCTATATTTTTATCTGTAGGCTTACATTTTTCTATTTCATTTTTTTACTTAAATTTTACTTCCTAATATACGCCACCGAGGGCTTTTTTGTTTAAGTTGTATACTTGTAAATCTAATTCTACATAATGTTGTCGCTAAGGATCAAAATTGGTATATGCATGGCTCACGAGCCTATCAGAGTAACATAACCTAATATAATGTTGTGGAAGCGATAATTTCCTAAAGGCTTTGAAATTGTTTACTTAAAAAAGAAGTAAAGTGCGAATTTAACTCCTCAATTAGTGGTATTAGTTATTTAATTTAGAATATTGAGTTAACGGTTCTAACTATTATAACTTTTAAGGAAACTTATACTGGAAGCTCCACAACTGCAGCGCACCTACTCCAACTTTGATTTCTATATTACTATTCACTGACGCAAAACTTATATACTTTCGTTAATTAATAGATAACTTCAACTTAAAGCAATAATTAAAAAAAAAATATTACATGGAACTTAACAAACGATTTATGCTTCATCTTCTTCCTCTTCGTCAACATCATCGTCATCATTATGACCAACTTCTTCAACTTCTGCTTGATGACTCACCTGCTTATGCTGATACCACAATTTTGGCACAAATATCAAACCCAACGCCATGGTATTGGTCAATTGTGAGCGCAGGAACAGCGCTAAAAATATAGCGCTCGGACTCATTTCGGGCAAATAGAAAAAACGCAGCACATAGAATGTTGTCGACACCAGAAATTCTATGACCAATGTCGCAACGAGGAACTGCCTTTCCTGCAAGCATAAATATTTGCATATACATAACAAAGCTTAACAGCGCGCTTTACATGCTACTCACTCTAAATTGCGTGTTGGCATTGCGACTGGCGAAAGCTAAATGCAATCCGAAGCAGAGTATTAACACTTCGCTGACCTGTGTCACATATTCCCACTTGAGCGGCAGGCAAGTGTTTGTGCGCTGTTCACGCAACGTGCCCAACTGTGACACATCGATCAGGTCTAGTGCGGCGGCAGTGAAGGCGGCCATATAACAGGTGACGGCAAATACCATCGTGCCCAAATATTTCAGCAAATCGATGTCGCGCAACACCCAACGATGCGCCTTGCGTGTACGAAAATCGACCAGATGGCGATACAGTTTCAATATGATGGCACCGTAGCAGGTGATGAAGCCAATTTCACGCAGCCATGGTTCAAGTAGACAGCGTTCGGTGGTGGCGGGAAAGAAATGGACGGCAACCTAGAGGGGGGAAGTGAGAAAAGAGGAGGGAATGTGGCATGGCAGAATTATATTTGGATTTAGGTTTAGGTTTTTGCTTACCGATGCATAAAGTAATATGATTCCCAATAAAATTGTTTCCAGCACTGTCCACATGCCTGAAGCAATAGCCTGAAAATATTGAAAACAAAAATTATTTGAAGATTATTTATTAGATTTTTAATGCATAGATATTTCAGAAATATTGAAACAATTCAATATTTTAGATTATATTAGTGAAAATTATACCAAGAAATCCAAAAACCGAATACACACAATAATTAAAAAAAACGCATATAAAAAAAAAACAAAAAAAAAAAAAAAAAATTATAAATATATTTTCAAAAAATTACTATGATAACGGTATGTGTTTCTTATTTCAAAAATTTGTACGCTTACCTTACATTTTCTCTGCCGAAAAACAATTACACTCAATACGATACAACAAAGTATGCATGCGCCCAATACCGAGCCCACAGATACATTTAATAAGCTCTCCATTGACACAACCTCGGGTGGTTCACCCAGCAGGCAGACACCATGCTGATCACAAGTTGTACAGCCATCGGGACAGGGTATGCAAGAATAATTGGCATAACCCTCGGATGCTTCCACGATATCACCACGAAAACCCTGTAGTGTCGAGTTGGGCAAATAGAAGGACTCACGACAGATGCAGGTGTAGACATCGCGTGTCGCCGAGGGTTTATTCTCGGTCAGTAAACAAAATGTGGTGTTACGATCGCAGCTATAGAAATTCGGAAGAAATAAAAATAATTAATTGAAAACAATAGTAATAATTAAGTTAGGTTAGGATTAATAAAATATAAAATATGAAGGTATGTATAGATTTTTGGTTCTAGAAGTTAAATTTACTTTGAGAAAATCACAGAAGTAAAATATAATAATATAAAATTACCCATGCTTTCGTCCGAAAACTTCCTCCAGCCCATCATTACAGACGTCCTCATCAGCAGCGATAAAGGCGACAGCGCCAATTCTGAAAAATGCAAAGACTTTGATATTAGCAGTACTAACAGCGGTTTCGAGAAATGTCTATGGGTATTTAGAGCAAATGCCATTAGGAAAATGACGAATGGCACCGATTTTTTTGCATCGAATTATTCCCTCAATTCTCTGCATACTTAATTGCTTACTTTATTTTATTTTCACTAAATGTAATGCGAAACGGCCACAGCCAACGTCTTTTCAACACATTGCAATCCCGGAATGGTGCACCCCACTCCTGTGTACCCTCGGTGCTGTTCCACGCCACACCCAATTCACGCCAATAGGAACCAAGTATTGCTTTATTATGTATCTGATCCGGTGGTATCTGTCATACACAAATAAAAGGCGAAATTAAAACATGAACAGCGAGATATTATTTGCAAAAAGTGTCATCACTCACCTTTACATCGTCCCTGAACTTGACCACAACCGTTTGTATGCTCGGCGCTGCAATTGCAAACGCCAAAAGATTCTCATCTTCGTTTAGTGCATAACTGGCAATGCTGTTGGCACGACGTCGCAACTCTTCACGCAATTCCGCTGTGATGGCCTGCTGCAATGGTGGGCCTGAGGTGCCAAATTTATTCGTAATAAATTCAGTGAATTGGCGTGCAGCATCTTCGGCGATGTCGGAGAAATCGAAGAACTGCAAGAAAAAATATTGTTGTAAAAACTTTTAATACGAAAACATCAACAATTGAAATTATTTTTTAAAGAAACGAGAAGGGAAATTAAAACAAGAAATACTCTTTACAAGCACAACATATTTCTTAAATGAATTCTTGAGGAGAGTTCTTTGATTGTTATTTCCTTGGGAGTGGCCAGAAACGATTCCTTTACGTATGGCTCAAGCAGCTCACGACTTCCGGTCATAGACCAAGTATCCTCTGGGTATCCAAAGAACATCCTTTTGAAGGCAAGCTAAAGTGAGAAGGCGAATCATCCCTCCCCAGGGTTGTGCGCAGGGTTTGAAACCCGCCACGTAAAAAAATGCTCCCAATGAAAATGAAACAACAGCCTCCGAAGAGAAAGCCCCCTTTTAATGCGAAGCAAATGGGTCTGTTAGTGAACGAGGACAAATTAACTTCGAAGCTCTATATACTTTCGTCTATCTCGAACCAGTATTAACAACAACAACAGTGTCAGCTTCGAAATCCAACGTAGAATAACTCTTGCCACGTGCTACTTCGGACTGAGTAGCCAATTGAGAAGAATTGAGAATTCCTTCTTCTCTCGTCCAGCTCTATGGTGCTGAGGCAGGCTGGGACGATGACAACATCTGGTGAGTCGACGTTACGTTATGGTCCTTTGCGCTTTGGCTACGGCGAATATCGCATTCAATGGAACGATAAGTTGTATCAGATATACGACGACATTGACATAGTTCATCGAATTAAAGGACAGCGGATGCGCTGGCTAGGTCATGTCCGTTGGAAAGACCAGTTGGAGAAGGACCAGGCCTCGCTTGGGATCTTTAATTGGCGCTAAGCAGTAAAAAGGAAGAACGACTGACGCGCTGTAGTAAATTCGGCTATAACCGCTTGGCTCCCACGTTATCGGTGTCTACGCCAATAAAGAAGAAGAAGAATAATAGTAATTTTCTATAAAAATTAATAGTAAGGTTAAGCACACTATCGCAGCAAATATTAACTCATATCATGGCCTGCTGCACATGTGTTCTCCAAACATCTCAGTCATAAATTTTTCTTCATAATTATGTATGTATGTATGTCAAGCTTCTTCGTGTCTTCTTTGAGTTCATCAATCCATCTTGATTGCGGTGTTTTGTTTGGTTTAGTGCTGAATGAGTGGCGTCTACAATTTTCTTCAGCGCTCTCTTGTTGTCTTGGTTACTGCGCTTTGATAAAGCTTATGACATTTTACTTTGTATATCATGCTCATGGCTTCATCTTATATGCCACTATATTTTATTGCTCAAAAGTTTTCACTTAGGATTGATAGAGTTAGGTAAACTTCAATTATAGTATTATTTTTCTTTTTTTCCAGTAGTTTTTCACTTTTACTCACAGAAAGTATTATTATAATATTTCCGTAAATCCATTTCTTTTGGAATGCCTTTAGATGACTTGAAAATAACTACTATATATCATCGGGCATATCCATAACTCACACTGCTTGTAAATTTAATGGCAAAACAACAACGTTTTCTTTAACGCCTTAGCAAAAAAATTTCCCGGAATCATCTAAAGCGGTAATGATTCATCAGTAATGTCGCTAGGCAAGCGAAATATGTTCGGAAAACCCCAATGTTTACATTTATAATATATAAATTTAAAGCTAAATTATTCAGCTTTATGTTTCTACTATAAAAATTTGTATAAAAACATACATATGTATATATATACCCATATATATACATACAGGATTATATATATGTAAATGTGAATATGTATAAGTATGAGCGTATCACATTAATATTCACCGAAAATATTTTGCTAAAAATAGCTTCTTATTCAATTTCACAATTTCACCATCATAACTGCGCTCGTGGGCACCTACCGTCTGTGTGGCTCGTGCATATCAAGTGGCTGCCATCTGGAAGCCCAAAAAGTTTAATGTGAATTTAACACGAGACTACATTCTTACACTGCTATACATCCCACAATCCCCCACCTAGCTTCGATAAGTTTGGCACAGAGAAGAAGAATTTTTTGAATTCACGCATCATAACTGGCAAGCGCGCCAACAAGATTTGTGTACAAACAAATTTATTATGTTTACTTGTATTTGTGTGACAGCAGCAAAACAAAACATTGATTTTTGTGCGAATTAGGTGGGCGTGTACACATACATATTTTCATTATAGTACAAATACTGACATTTCGACAAGTACATATGTCTGCATGCATAAAATAATACTTCACACATTGGCATGTACTCATACATACATATGTATTAGTAAGTGGGCACACCCCATTCTACGTAATTCGTTAACTCACTCATATGGATTGTAGACTATTCAACAGAAATTACCTTTTCCTTGTAAAACTTAAAGCTTTTTGTTTGCTTTCAAAACAAGTTCAATACATAGTAAAAAAAAAACTCTGGCACGTGTGTGCTCTGAAATGCGTGCCATAGAATCCATGACTCACTATTTAAAGCTAATGGATTCATTAAAGTGTGGCTGATTCTTGAAATTCATGAAAGGCATTTATTAATGAATACATGAGAATGATTTGCTTGTGTGAGTGTACATTGTACAATTAAAAACAAAGAGAGAAAGAGAAAAAAATAATGGTACACCATATCGTATGATGAACATGCGATGCATGCATGTGGACTTGAATTGCTCAATCGAAGTTTTATGCTCAAAATTTATTGATATGTCAGATTGGCTTATTCACAGAGCGTTTGATTAAAATAAAAAAAAGAAATTATTTGCGTAGAAGTGAATATCTACTGAGTATGCCGTAAATATTGAAAACAATAAAAAAGATGTATTAAAATTCATTGCTTAGACATAAAAATGCTGTCTTATTGAAAACACTGCCATGTTGAAGTAGTTATACTGCTTATAAGTAATCAATTTGTTTTCAAAATATTTTTTCGTCTCGGTTCAATCAGCCTACGTTTTTTTTCCTGTTTTTTCAAATTTCCTGCCGTGATAACTCGAAGACAAATGATACAATCTTCATGAAATTTTTTACTGTTCTATAAAATCTAATCGAAATCAGGCGAGTAAAATTTTGGGTAAAAATCAACTTTATTTTAAAAAACTCCGATATTTTGTCAAATTTTGATTTTTATCGTAGATAAGGGGAATATTTTCCTGTTGAAGGAAAATCATTTATGTTTAGGTTTCATGCAAGGAGAAGACCGGAATCACTGCAGTAGTGGGTGACCGTTTGTTAACGCAATCGTTGATCTCGTACAACTCAAAAATATTAAATTTAATTTTTTTTTTTTCAAAAATTTCAATTTGTATTCTTGAAACATATGTGCTTATAAATACGGTAGATCCTCTATAATTTCAAAATATCTCTCACAGTTTACATTACTTTGATTAAAAAGTTTGAACTCGCTTTACAAAATATGTTGACTGATAACAGTTTATAATCTTGTTTCTCTAGTTTGGTTCTCATATTGTGATAACACGTTTACGTTTTTTTGATTAACAAGTTTCAACAGGTGGCAACACGCTTCCAAAACTATTTTCTATGAAATTGCTTTTTTAGTTAATTTCATTGTGATAACTACTATAATATTTCCATTTAATCAAAAGATGTAAACAGGTGGCAACCCGCTTTAAAAAATATGTTCACTGAAATCACTTTTTCACCTTATTTCCCTAGTTTCGTTCTCATATTGCGATAACACGTTTACGTTTTTTTGATTAACAAGTTTCAACAGGTGGCAACACGCTTCAGAAATGTTTTCTATGTATTTTTTTTTATTTATCTTTTTTGATTCTCATTCAATTTAAAGTTTTAAAATGTTTCTGAAACTTCCCCTAAATTTTTTTCTTTCTTCTTTTTGTATTTACAATTTTAAAATATGTGGCAACATATTTTTTTGGAAATTTTCTTCAAAAAATATTTTCACTGAAATTTAATTTTTTAAATTGTTTCTGAAACTTCTCCAGTTTGATTTGAACCTTCGGTTTTTTTTCGGAACCCATTGCATTTCCATTGAAGGATTTTCGAGAAATTTGGCACAAATTTAATCGTAGTAGGACTTGAGGAAGAAGTCTGTAAAGCATCTTATCCTGCTTCAACACTTGTCTTTTGCTAAGCAATATACTTGTATAAATCGACTAAGGTAATATCAAAGCTAATTAAATTCGTTTTAAATATGACCCAGAGTAGACAAAATATAATGAATATTACAGTAATAGACGATAATCTGACGAGAGTGTAAAACATCTTCTCGATTTCAACAATCATTTTTAACTGGAAACCATTAACTGAATATTTGCATTATAGACATTTGATCATCGTTTCTCAGTCGACCGATAAAATAAGTTATTTATAAAATATATACAAATTGTACATTCATTGTTCGATTAGAACAATTCATCATAATTTCGATTGTACCACTAAACGGCAACAATCACAAGGATAAAAATGTTGCTGTTGGTCGCCAAAAACTCATACAAATAAAGCACTAATGGTTATTGAACCGTGTAGAAACAAAAGCACACATAGACTCGTACAAATATTCGGGTATATGTAGAAATAAAAACAACAACATTATACAATATTATACATATTTATTTTAGCATCAGCATTTGCAATAAAAACAACCACAAACATTGCCCCCCACAGCAAAAGGCAAATAAGGAAAACCAAATAGCAACCAAGAAAGCCACAAAAGCGTGAAGGCAACGAAAACTTGCAAGTGTGTGGCAGCAGAAAAAGTGAAATAATGACTGCTAGAGAGGTAACTGAATACTCATATTTACTAATTGTACATACAAATGTATTTATGTATGTATGTGATAGCGGTTTTGTGCTAGTTGTGGTATTGGTGAGTAAGCGAATTCCTTGGAATTCCCTACATGCCTGAGTGATTTATATGTACATAAAAAGTACATACATATATAAATGTAGAGTCGTCGCACATATATACATTTGTATGTATAATGTATTTAAAGCAATGTTATGCCAACAATAAACTTACCATTTT